GTGTCGGTCGAATCGAGGAGCGCGCTCCGTAGTCACTAATCGGTACCGACGTGACTCACTCTCAGCTTTGCTCACCATCCATCAATACCTTCTCCGCAATTGTATAGTAGAACCGAATATGTACAAGGTCCACACACCCGTTGGTGTGTGTCAGCTCTGCAGACCTTCATTGTCAGAGATGCTGCCGGCAATGCGTGAGAAACGTGGCTTGGCAAAAGCTGCGCTTTCGGATTGGAGCAGGGACTCCACCATTGAACCTAATTTGCAAGACTTTGATGGAGACCGCAACGAGACTCAAGCTACTGACTTTCACCTGTCTCAGAATCGCAATTTGTGCGTCTGGGTTCGGTATCACCTATGTGGCAATGGTGGCCATGCGAATCTTGACACATGCGGATCAAAGGGGGTTGAGCAAGTGCCAGTCCTTATGATCCCTTGTTAGAGTCTTGGAAGAGGTCGCATGTTCTGACGTGTGCAATGACCACCAGAGCGTCCTGACTTGTCCATTCACATTGTATTTTTATTTGACAGCTCTGCTTCCGCAAATTCGGTACGGCACTGCCGTTGGGGCGAATTCGCATGCATATGTTGTCCGTGAGTTGTGCAAGGAAGCAATGATGAGGAAGATTAAATCAGTCTAGGAAATCACCCAACAGACGAGCACGTGCGTAATGAGGCCAAATAACGTGTACCATTGTCTGCCCTGCGTTTTTGCATCCCGAAAGAATGAACGATGCGACGTTGCACCACTTGGTATAGATATTGCGGCCCTCGCATATTACATGCAGTTCCTTGGAGCGTTGGCTCGGTAAGTTTAGTTATCCTCAAGGGTTATTAGTCATGAAGTCGCATACAGCTACTTGAAAATATGTTTTGCAGATCCCTGCATTGTTGGTGTCCATGGGAAATAAAAGCAGAGTGCAATCTGCAAATGTGAAATCACTCACCTGAAGGCAGTTTCAAGTCAGTTTTCTTTCCGCATCGCAGTATGTTCTGCTTTCCTCGCATCTCATAAACGAAGGTGGGAAAACGTGAGGTCGTGGCATTGGCTGGACGTGCGCAACCAATGAGCTGAACTGCAGTGCTAGGTCACATGGAAAGACGACTTGAGTGTATGAGGAAGGGGTTGATGATTCACTGCATGACGTTGGCCTTTCTGTCCGCCCACGTAGAGCGGATGAGTGCTCGTCTCAACGGTTTAGGCGAGAACCGGAGGCGAATCAGTGCGGCAATATACTGGTCTGGAAGACGTGAGGACTAAGGAAGGTGCCGTTTGAATGTG